CCCCAAAACCCCAAAACCCCAAAACCCCAAAACCCCAAATTATTAATAGAATATTGAAAATTTTAATGAAGCAAGATTCCTTAAGAAACAAGAAAGAGTCATTCAAGAAAATGACTCTTGGACAGGATTCTTTCAAAAATTGTCAATTAGGCCAAACCAAAATCCGACAAAATCAACAAAATGAGCAAGAGAATATAAGAAATCCTCTGTCATCGAAGCACTCAAACGTCGGTATGAGGGAGCTTAAGCTCCCTCATACCGACGAAGAGAGTCCTGCTTGTTTCCAAGGAATTCAGGAGTTTACAAAGTATGATTTTGATCAATATGAGCGGTACATAAACTCACAAGGTCTTGATATACGCATTGGCCCATATAACCAAGGCTTTTTGTAAGGTTTTAAAAATTTTATTCTTCAAATTACTATTTATCAAATCTATATGTTTCTAACTTTATAAAAGGATGGATAGAATGTCTGGGGATAAAACCCATAGTACACAATTAGCAAGCAGCACTAAATAAATCTAAGAGAAACTCTTCTCTAATTATGAAAAATAATGCTGAAAAGTAAGCATACAGCATCATAATAGATTCATTGGTCATTTAACCAATTTTCAGAAAACGAGGGAAAGGAATGCAGTTAATGAAGTCAGATGGATAGGAATGAAGACTATTAAATCTGGAGGCACTAAAAATAGCAACTTTTATCAACTTAACCAAACCGTAGGAATAAAGTGAATAATTATGTAGACCCATCTGTTTAAGCAGAAGAATCATCAAGAATTATGTCAAACTTCTGATAATACTCAAGAATTTATTGGAAAAGTTAATGAAGCCAACAAACGGAGCAGAAGTGCTCTGTCAAAAGGGAAGCTTGAAGGCACTCTTTGTGTCATGGGACTCAACAACTCAGGTTTTGCAAGCACTCATGTCCCTGAAAAGATGAACATGGTTTGTGATTTTCATAAAGAAAATGCCATCCGCTACAAGTATCTCCAAGAGCATCTAAAGAAGATAGATCAGAAGAATAAGACCAAAATGAGAAGGAAGATCTCTCCATTTTGGGTTCAAAGTAAAAAGTATAACTCACTTGAATGCAAGAAATTAAGTTTGAAGGGAGACAAGTTGATCAGAACACCGAATGTTTGAACTGGTGAAAAGAATGAAGGTATTAAATATTATCATACCATTCCTATATTACATAGGAGATTTTATTTTTCATTATTAACCCAAGCCTTCCAATTAGTAATTACATTATCTTTTTAGAAAATGAAGCCCTTGAGAACCACTTAGACAGATCTCTCGATCGTGAAGAGAGCCGTAGAGGAATCCAAAATAGTATTTATAATGAGACTGCAGATTATGAAACCCAGTTTTCAAAAACACAACAGAATTTTCACCCAAAAATGAACGAATGCTTGAATTTAAGTTCGAATCACAACTCAAATTTGATAAGCAAGGATCTGACAGTTAGGCCTAAGCCTCTTGGAGTTACTGAAATAAAGAGAGAAAGAAAGACGGTTTCAAGACTTCAAAAGTAATTCCGCTTCCTAACTTCTAGAGGTAAAGCTTCTGCTTTGGGAAAGAAAATAAGAAATAATGAAGCTATTCATACGAATGTTTTGATTCCACAGAGAAAGAGTAATTCAATGATTCCTAAGGATGAGAAGTTCCAGTACCAAAGGGCACATTCTAACTATAGTGGATCACCTGAGCTCAAAGAAAGAGCTCCCGAGATTAGCAATTTGAACAAAAAGACTTTCATTAGTCATATGAATATAGTTGATCTGTCCCAATTCGAAAAATAAAAGCGCTATTATGCACGTTGAAATAACTCCTTCAAAGAAGGCAGTCAAAGAGTCTACCTTGCAGATAAAAAACACCAATGATATCGCATTAATTGATTCACATAATAAAAGAAGCACTCGAAATAAGGCTGAAACACAGACTTTTAATGGATCTTCCTTTAAGACTAATGCAAAGAATAAAATCAAGGGAATCTCGCATTTTTCCATCCACACTCCTGCCAAAAGTTCTCCTTTAAACATTATCGAATCTAAATAACTTATTTCCTGGGGCCTTATCAACTGTTTATAAGGATTCAAAAGAGAATAGTAGGTAAGGATAATTTAAAAACAAGTTATAGCACTACAATCCCATCTCCCTTAAAAACTTTCTTACAAAGTAAACTGATCCAAGAATCTCGCAAATGAGCAAAGAAGACTCAGGAGATAAAGGTCAAAATTATTCATAAGCAACATGCTAGTTTTAACAAAAGTAAGAATAAGAACGAACTTTGCTTGAAATGAGGTAAAGTTCCATGCTCCCAGAAAAATTCCTGTCAAAATAACATAAAAATCATCAAAGCTGGCTACCTTGGCAAACAAAACCGGATGAAAAGAGTCATGAACATCATAAACAAAGACTTCACCGACAAATGCAGCATGATGGTATCTCCACCCTCACTAAAATCTAGGCCAAAAAGCATAAATTCCACCAAAACCTGCCTCACAAGCCCAAACCCGCCCCTTCTCGTCTCTTCAAGCAGCCAAACATAAAGCACATATTGAGCAAAGTAAAGAATCGGCACACAAATTTACCTGCAAAGGGGTCTTCAGCTACTATTGTGGACTCGATTGACCAGAACAGGCTGGTGATTAAGGCTAATGCCACAGTGAAACTTGTTTAGGAGTTATGTTACTATTCATTCCTAATTCAATCTATACAAACTTACAACCTCCATCTCCTACTAGTAAACTTTTGGAAGCCAAACATTCCCTATCAACCAAAACTTGTGTTTCTTCATTCCAAATCAGAATGTATGTTTCAGGCATAAATTTCTACGAAAATTTAGAAGTTTGGGGTTTTGGGGTTTTGGGGTTTTGGGGTTTTGGGG